TTTAACATAGAAAGGTAAATGGGTTTCAGTCTCATTTATTGTCTGTTTTGCTTTCCGTGGTAAAATGTACTTTCATTCAACAAATTTTAATTATTCACCAATTGGATGTAAAGCCCTATGTTATAATAGGCGTATGGGATACTAACATTGATTGGGGATGGTCGTTGTTTTGAAAATGCTTATGGGAAAAATAGACAAAAAACTGTACTTGAAAAATAACTAAATAAATTAAAAAAATAACAAATAACAATAATAAATTTCAAGGAATACTTGAATAATAAATATTTCTGTACAGTTAAAAAAAAATGCTTATGTCTAGTAAGTATGGCAATCAAAACATCCAATACAGTATTAAAATAAGCAGAATTATCACATAAAATATTACAACAAAGCAAAACTCTTTCTATTATGATTGTTTACTGAATATTTTGCTCCTGCTGCATAATGATTGAACAGCTGTTTAAATGTCTCCTTCATAGATTTGTTGTTATGTGTGCGATGATAAGAAAGCCTACTCTTAAAATTGCTGCTAATATATGGAGAAGAGACAGACATCCAGGTATATACAGAGCAGAAAATCATAAATAGATTGCTAAGCAGTATGAAGTCAATTATGAAAATGGAAAGTTAATTGAAGGGCTTTGAACACATGCCAAATTTCTAAGGTAAATCATTTAATTTCTTTGAAGATTGGCAAATACTCTAGGGTTTTTATACAGATTATTTACATAAATAAAGTAATTTGTCATATTTTATTATTTTCTTTTATTTAGAAATGATTTTCTGTTCTGTGGATTGTGCAAGGTACAATTCTGGCACAGTAAAAGCTTTTCCCCTCATTATTATAGTGAACGTTTTGGAGAGAACCATAAGCAAACAACCTAGCCCTCTGTGGGAGACGAGGATGTGAATGTTTGATTAATGGTCGGCACCGATGACAGCTGGAATGCAAACAGTTGGAGTCATACCTCAGGAAATGCTTCAAGGACATGAGGAAGCACCATCTGAAGCAACACAGATGCTGATAACGAAGAAATAGTTACATTCAGGATGAAAACTGTGAATAAAGGAAGTATCTGAATCTAAATAGAAAGCAGAAGGCAGAATGCAGAGCAGGAAAGGGCCTAAAAGGAACAAGAGCCGTGACCTGGCAGGCAGCACCTGCTCTCCTGAATCATCTTGGAGGCCTCTCTCTCCCCTCTTCTTAGACTCTCTCTCTGGCTGGCTCCTCTTCAGTTCACCTTCTTCCAAATGGGGGTCTCCCATTCATTCTCTCTGCTGAACTCTACTCTTCCGTTATTTAACCAAGGCACCAGTGGGGCTTTCTTTCTTCCTCGCTTCCTTCCTTGTCTTATTTTTAATTCTCTTTTTGTCTGGACATATTTCTAAAATTGAAAAAACCCTATAGATTTGTCTTTAAAACCAATTATATTTTTCCAGATAGTGACATTTATACTGATAACATTTTAGTTATTCAAGACTCATTTGTGAGAAGGGTCTATTACTGTGAGCCCCATGGGGCCACAATGGTCATGCCAGGGTTTCCGAGTTAATTGAGGTCGTAATTTATGAGGTCTTATGTTCGGGTGTCTTTCATGAGTTTATTCATATCTAAATAGAGTATATTTGAGGGTGGATATCTACCTCACTGAGAACTGATGTTCTGGAATGACTACTTATAAAAAGATTGCTTTATATCTGTCATTAAAAAGTGTTTTGCTTGTTTGATGTGCTTTCAAAATTATGGACCTAAAGTAGCTTGGATATGTGTTCCCAGTCCAGAAAGAAGATTTATATCAAAAAAAAAAAAGGAAAGAAAAAGCACATGGTCCTACTAATGATGGTTGCTGAGGAAACAGACAATAAAAACTTATTTTATATGACTCTCAACTAAACTAGTGATTTGAAGACAGGAGAAAAGGCTTAAAGTAATTTTCTACAGACAGTGAAGACAGAGAAGTGTCCAGATGGACATAATCTATACTCTTATTAGAAGGCACAGAATTACAAATATTTGTGTTGCTGGTGAGTGGATACACAATGGAGCCATGATCTCCAGTCAGCCTCGACAGTAAATAACGTGGCTTCTCTTCACAGCAGAGTTAGGGGCAGACTAGACAATAAACATTAGTAAAGCTGGCGAGGTGAAAACACTCTTGTAGCTAGTCAAAGGCTTTCGGTGAGGGGTTTAAAGCTTATAGTAAAGACTCCTGTAACCAGTGAGGTACACGAGCTTTAGGAAGACCCACAGTGACTTAGTTCTACCAAAATTAAGGTCACTCTGTTTTATTGACAATAATGAGTAATTTCTGACATATATAACTACTTTTTAGAAAGTTCTGTTATCTGTATTTTAATATACAAATTTTTGAGTTGAAGTTATGATACATTTTCTTAATTAATCATCAACGGTCATGTCCACCAAGTGAATTATTATCCACTTGGTAACAACATACTTTAACTGTAGTTACCATAACAAGGGTGAAATCACATTTTGAATCCCCAAGCATTGGACGTGTAAAACCAAATTGATTTGTTCAGTCTACTTTTTAGAATCACTTTAAACTGTTTAAATTTTACTTTTCAGTTATGGTTGACATGCAATTTGTCATAAATGTAACACCATTTATTTGAGTTTATGTCCTAGGCACCCAGTTGCTTTCTTCATGGAGAGAGGGAGAAAGAAAAGCAAATCGCAACAGATGCTAAGGAAGGAAACTCAAGACTACATAATTTTCCTTTGGGGGTTTTAGCAACGGGCTGCAATAAGATGCAATTAAAACTTGTAAGCAGGGGAGCAGAGTGGTCAGATTTGCAATTTAGAAAAATCTTGCTGGCTACAATGTAGAAAATGTAATAGGTGATGAAGACAGTGGAAGCAGGGATGTCTTTTGTAGTTTTTCAGGCCCTTGAGGATAATAACCTGGCCTAAGGTGGTAATAATAGGTAATGAGAGAAATAAAAAGATTCAAGAATATTTGAATATCAATCGAGAAGATCTGGTAATTTATTAGATTATGAGTGGTAAGGGGAAAGAGGACTCAGAAATAACACTGAGATCTTGGGCACTTGAGTAGATAGTCAATCAGGTATATTCAGTAAATAGTTAAATCTATAATCTTAGAGCAAAATATAAACAATGGAGTCACCAGCATAGGAATGGTGCTATGTAGCTCTGTCTGTGATGGGGATTAATAGCCTAGAAAGCACTTGTAGGAAAAGTACAACCAAGTACTGTTCATGGTTGCTAATGGAAGAAGATGGAAAATTAATAGGGATTCCCTGGGCCTTCAAACTAGCTTTTCACTTTTGTTGGTTTCCAAGAAAATCTTTCACAACAGAATAAATATTACAAATGTATTTAAAAATAAATTTACAAAATTAACTATAAAACGATTAAAACCTATTCCCCTTATTATGTATGTACCCTAAGTGAGAATATAAATCACATGAAAAATATTTTTCTTACTAATTTTTAATTTTTTTATTTATTGAAACCTAACATTTGCAAACAATGAATATTGTCAATCCCAGACAATCTGGATCCCACAGGGGTTCTCAATAGGGAACCACTAAGGGTTTGCACTGAAACTACTGGTGGCCTCCATTGATTTGGCTCGAGGGAGTTTCACAGTAACCAAACATAAGCAGTTCACTTGGTTCATTGAAGACTGTTATGACAGCTATTTTAACTTTCCCTGATTAAAAACTTGCCTGGGCCAGTGAGGAGCAAGTTATAGTTAATGAACTTCCAGATATGGTGACTTAAAGAATTTCAGTTAGTTTTATTTACAATAAGCCCTTTCTGAACATTTTACTCTAATTTATCTTCAGTTTGCTCATGACTTTCCAATGTTTATCTTTGACCCATATTTATCTTCTGAACTCTAGACAAATTGGGTAGGTAGGGTGATATTTTGAGATATGACTTAGAGTTTTTTCCTGACACTTTTTAATAATATTTGCTCTGCTACTAATTCAGTCATTATAATTCATCATCTCAGGGGAGGGTGATGCAACCGAAAGCCGAAGTAAATCTTGGGACTTTCTGATTTCAACAGGCTCCCTCTCAAGAGAGTATAGGGAAGAACTCAGAACATTCAGAAATGGATTTGGAAGGATATATGACTAGTCAAAGGGCATAGGTTTTCCATTCTGGAAACTAAATTAAGTGTTTCTTGGCTGGGAAAGAAAATGAGTCAGAAGAGAAGCAAAGAAAGCTGAGGTATTGACAGATCTCTGAGAATGGTCTCCACGTTCCTCTTTCCCAGTCTCCCCACTGCACCCCAGCAGGGTCTGGGATTCCAGAGCAGACTCTGTTCCCCAGGACTTTTCCAGTCATTTTATTGTGCATGAACTTATTAAAAAGACCCCATGTAATTTTATTAACCAACATCACCCTAGTACATTAAATTTAAAAACTTTGACAATGTTCCAAACAGTAAAAAAAAATAATAAAAAGCAACATTAATGAAAATAATGAGGTATTGACTGAAGGACTGACTGATGATATACATCAATGATTAGACTAGGAAACCCCCCAAATCCCAAAGAATATACAGATGCTTGACAGGTGGTAACACTGTCACTGTGAACTGGTGAGAAAAGAATGGTCTTTGCAGTAAAACTACTGGGTCAATTAAAATATCAATATTGAAAAAAACCAAGACTACTACCTCAAACCCACATATCAATTCCAGGTGGGTTATTGACCTAGATGTGAAAGTTTAAACAGTAAAGCCCTTAGAAGCTAATATAGGAAAATATCTTTCTGAGCTTAAAATTAGAACAAGAACCGGTGCCTTAAACAACATAGGACTCGTGGACACGGGCCATGGTGGGGGACTGACTGTGAGAGTAGGGGTGTGGATTAGGGGTGAGCAATGGGGAAAAAGGCGGGACAACTGTAACTGAACAACAATAAAAATAACTTTTCATTTTGAAATAGTTACTGCAGTCTGAATCTTGCTACAGGGAACGATCAGATAAAGAGATTTCGCAAACATCTGTGTCAATAGCTGCTGTGGTATTGCTTTCTAGAAGACCTCTTCACCAACAGTGATTGCAGCACGAGTGCTCAGTGGGATGGAGAAGCCTGCGAAGCAGCCACAGGCCCTTTACAGACTGTGTCGAGGCCAGTCGAGGATCTGCGGCTGTATCATCAGTTGCTAGATACGTTTGAATCTCTGTCGATCACGTTCGCAGTCAGCTCTAATCATTTCCTCCGGAAAGTTCTCCATGGCTGACTGATTCCAAGCACACTTGGCTGTCTGGGTAATGTTACCACTTCTTAATTTTTTCTGCTTGTTTTGTAAAACTGCCTCTAGATTGCTACAGAATGTTTTCTGACACTCTGTCCTTGCTTTCAGTATACAATGCTCAGAGTCTGTTGTGAAATTTCAAAATGTTTGGTGTCTGTAAGTCTTGGGAAGCTAACAGCAGAGATTAAATTGACAGTTCCAGATGGAAATTTTGAGCCCAATTCCAAATTTGACGTTTTGCTGCCTTTCTTGGAGACTTGCCTTCTTTTTGTATTATATTTTCATTTTATTTTATTTTTTACTCAAATCAGTGACGTGGTGGTATCCTCCCAAGAAGACTCCCCGCAGATCACACGTGCTGACAACATCAAACAGGGCCTGTGAAACCACAGGACCCCCGGCTGCTGTTCACAGTCCAGGCAACAGGTGAGGTTCTAAGAAGCCAACACAGTCTCACTCATTGTTTCGTGTAGAGCCAAGAGCCAAGATAATGCGGGTTTCCTGAGATGACAGTGAGCTATCTATAAAACAAACCTCTAGACTTTAAACCAACACAACTCTTTGGCGGTTGTAGTTGCTGTGCTGTTAATGTTGAGAATAAAAGCCTATACACTGGATATTTAAAATGTCATTCTAATCCAACAACCAAGTAATAGCATCAGAGTACATTCTCCGGCCTCGTGTTTTTATCGTCCTGTTATCTCAGGATGTAGCATGAGGCAAACACAAATGCTTTTCCTCAGAGTTTTTGTCTGATGATAATTTCCAGGGAATCCATCAGGATAGTCTTCCATTCACCAACTTGCAGGAGAGACCAGAATTTTCTGGTCTCAACGACTTCAATTAGCTTGAAGTCACACAAGCTAATTCTTAGACAAGAGACAGAGGAAGTGTGGCAATTTTGAATACAGCAAAATATCTGTCTTCAGTTTTCTTGGGCAAGTTGGGAAGGAGGTAAGAGATAGGGTGGATAGTAAAAAAACAACAACAAACAAACAAAAACACTGCCACCCATATAATAAAAAGTAATTTTTATAAAGTTTACCTGCTTTTTCCTCACTAGTAGCAATTATCTGCCTATTGATTTGAAAGATACAAAACAGGGTCTTTTACCAACCGATGATCCCTGAGAACGGGGGATAGCATGGAACAGAGCGGAATGTGGACCAGACTTATGGCCTGGGCAGGACCGATGCCTCTTGAGCAGAGCATGCAGCTCCCACTGAGGGCAGAAAAGCAAGAGACTGGTTCCCACACACACGTGCAGTGTCCAGTGTGCGGTGAAGACAGCCGACCCAGAAAATTACTGTTTGTTTCTGCTCTTGTTTCTATTTTTACCCCCAGGCCAATATGACCTGGGAAATGCAGATTGCATACAAATGGAAACACTCTCTTGAGAAAAAACAAACACACTCTTCAGCTTTCCCTTGGCCCATATTTCTTCATAATTTTCTATCTTTTTAGATAATACCCGAAACATACCTGAAATGTTTCTCTGCTTTTTCGCCCCACAACCTTCCTCATTCACATCAGTTATGGTAAAGTTATGTAAAATTTAATTGTAAGTCACATCCTCTATCACAATGTTGATAGTTTTAATTCTTTACTCTATCTGATACCCTTACTGGTGTTTCTTTTCTTGCTTAATTATATCCCTCTGTCACGTCACCTCACTCCTCTTTCTGCTTCCCACTTTGCATCCTGCACATCACGCCCTCTCTCCCGATGTACACCACTCTTCTGTGCTCGCAGCCGCCCAGCTGTGGGTCTGCCCTAACCTGGTAATGCAGCTTCCTACTTGAAGCCGCAACGCCCTCCAGTCTGCCCCCTGGAGGCTCCCCAAATTCTGTTTACAGAACGCAAGTTGGATTATGCCATTTCTTTAACATGATATTATCTATGGTTCTACAAAGAACACACTAGAGTTCTCAGACTGGGCATGGGGGATACAGAGATGCACAGGTAGCCTTCATGGAGATCTATGAGCCCTTTGATTCTATGCTCAAAAAGTTGTGTGAGTGTTAAGTGTGCTTTTCATAAGAAGAGTGTCAACAGATTTCACCAGATTCTCCACAGAGGCTGTGCTGTGACCTCAGTGTCCGGCACAGCCCTTCACAACCCAGTCCACCACAGCAGTGTAGTGCAGAGAGAGATGGCGTAGGAAGGGGTGCAGAAGGTGTTACAGAACTGTAGAGTCAGGCGGTCTTGGCTTTCAATTCTGGGTCGGTCACCTGGCTGGCTGATCTCAGAAATGTATCCTTTCTAAGCCTTATTTGGCCTATCTGGTAATATTTATTTTTTCTTAGGACTGTTTAAGGTATTAAATTTAATGATAATTTAAAGTAACCAGGAAATAATAGGCAGTAGATTATATACCTGCTTTACTGTCTTTGGACATCCAAAGATAATATTTGTGAAGCCACTACTGTAAACCTACCTAGTGACAAATCTCTTCTTTATCAATTGGAGTTACTTTAGTTTCAAGTTTTAAAAGGCCACATCCTATTGGTTAAAACATTTAAGGGGATATATTAGCTCACATAGAGCAAAAGGTTCAGAGGTAGAGTATGCTTCATGCATAGTTTGTTCAGGACTCTACCTATAATTTTCTATTATACTCTCAGCTTTGTCCCTCTCTGTATCAGCTTCTTTCTCAGGCTGGTTTTCCTCATGGTGACAAAGTGACTGCAGCAAGTCTAGCCCTTACAGTTACATTTCACACCATCTAGAACAAGGAGAGCATTTGCATCTTGGACTTCCCAGCCAAAGTCTGAGATTCCCTCGCTTGGCCATCCTTGAGCCAACCTCTGCAGCAGAGGTTACATCTTTAGTCTTAAGCATCTCTGAGTCCCTTGCATCCTCACTGGGAATTAGGATCACAGTAAAGGACAACATTAAAATAGTTAGCAATCAAGATGACACAAGCAGCAGCTAATGTGAATACAAAGCAGTGTGGTCAACATGGATGGCCATTAGAAACAACCAATCTTCTTCGGCGGGTGCTGCGCACTGAGTCTCAGCTCTGCCTGTGGCAACGGCGACGGTCAGAATGGCCTGCGGAGGTGTCATACCTACCTACTCAAGAATGAGCTTGTTCCCATTGTTCTTCAGATCAACCCTGGTAGCTAGAAAATCAGGATTCGGCTTGTGCTACCTGCTAATGAGCTTCACCTTGAAAATGGTGTGTACAAAGAAAGGGGAAAAAACAGCAGCTGTTAGCTTTCCTGGTCTCAATGAAGGAAGAAACCATTGGGGAGAGAAAATTCTCATACTGACTCTAACAGTGTGTGACAAAAATTTACTTTAAAACTCTGGGTTCATAATTTATATCACTCTCACACACAGAAACATTTAGAAATGCATTACTTGATCTTACATCATGTCAAGCTATTTTCAAAGGATCAGCCATCCTAAATTAATTTTCATTCTACAGCAGGAAGACAAAGGAAAAAAAACCCACACTGTTTGCTGTTCCTTAGTTTTGTTTCACATGAAATTATTTGTGAACCACTTCTCAGACCCAACCCAGAAATCCAAACTGTATCACAAGACAAAGCCTCACTTTGTAAAGAAACACAACTGGGCGACTCTGTTTCTCCTTCACCTCCAGGCCCTGCTTCCCCCAGATGCTGCGGGTCTGGCCGCGCTCCAGGCGCCAGCAGGGTGGGGAGCTGTCACCCGGGCCTGGCCTGTGAGCCGCGCCGCAGAGTCTTCAAGCCGAGGTCGCAGCAATAATGTGAGTGGGCTGGAATGTGGAGGAGGGCGGCAGCTGTTCTTTACCCTGACAGAGTATTTTCTCTTGAAAAATCAAATTAAAAAGAGAATGTGTGTCCAGATTAGCTGCCTCGGAAATCCGTGGAAGACACAAAAGGGCGTTAACTCTCTGAGAGGTGAGGGTAAATCTGTTACCGGTGGGCTGTAGTGAAAGGACTCGCTTTGGGATTTCATGTGAAATATGCGTAGGGGCACTGTATGGCCCCCGTCTCACTTCGCCCACGTATTCCGTTACACACTCCTTCCGTCCGAGACCCGTTTGTTGAGACCCCTGGGTGCGAGGCGGTGTGCTAGTCCCGAGGATACAGAGTACAGTCACATAGGCTAAAATCCTTGCTCCTTTGGAGCCTGTATTCCAGGGTGAGGTAGACAAAAGTAAAAATAAAAACAAATTCAAACAAATAAACACAAAATGTTCCAGGTAGTGGTAAGTGGGATGAAAAGAAAAAAAAACATCAACAGGGTTCATGAAGAGTGGAAGAGAAAGGGTGGTGAGGATATGCGCAGGAGATCCGGGAAGACCTTGAACTTGAGCGAATCCTGAGTGAAATGATAGAACAAGGCCTGAGATGCTGGCTACAGAACAGATGGCATGATCCATCCTCACAGAGACGCCTCCATCAATCCTGTGATGGGCGCTGGAGGGGTGAGTTGTCTCCTGACTGAGACACAAGGAGACAGGGACTCAGAAAGCTGTGTGGCTGGTCCAGGAATAAACTCATCCCCTTGAACTCCTAGTCCTTTGTTCTAGAAAGAGCAGGTGCCACACAAGTACACGGAGTGCTTTTGAGCTTTACAGACTTGATTTTTAAATTAAATGTATTGGAGTGACATTAGTTAATAAAATGTATGCTGAGTTTCAAGTGTACAATTCAATAATAAAAGCAATCCTGAGAAAAGAGACCAAAGCTGGAGGTATCATGTTTCCTGAGTTCAAATTATACTAGAAAGTGACAATAATCAAAACAGCATGGTATTGGCCAAAAAACAGACACACAGGTCAATGAAACAGAATTAAAAGCCCAGAAATAAAGCCACGTGTATACAGGCAAATAATTTTCAACAAAGGAACCAAAGACATACAATGGAGGGGGAAAATCTTCTTCAATGAAAGGTGCTCCGAAAATTGGGAAGTCACATGTGAGAGAATGAAACTAGTCTGCTGTTTGTTACCATATACAAAAGTTAACTCAAACTGGATCTCAAGACCTAAACATAAGATCTGAAACAATAAATTACACAGAAGAAAACATAGGTACTAAACTTGTGGACCTTGGTCCTACAGAGGATTTAATGCATTTAACCTCAGACTAGGGAAGTAAAAAGCAGACTTGCTTTTTGATTGAGATACTTTCTTCAGATGAAATTGTATGTGGTTCTAATTTTTGAAATAGATAAAACTGGAGCTTCTCTGCAAGGAGTGAGCAGGAAGTCTCTGCCTGTGTGCATCACACCCAGACCTGTCAAGACCTGTCGCAGCCTCAAGGTCTTTCCCCCAAGGAACCTTGGCAGCTCCCACGGGTTCCTGGCTCTGCTCCATACGTGGCCCTCCCTGCCTGGGGGAAGGAAGGAGGGAGGAGAGTGAGAAGTGAAGTAAACAGGAGGAAAATTGAAGAAACAAGGAAGATATGAGGAGTCAGTCACCTCCACTTGGTAACAGACTGGCAAAGCCAGCCTTTTATTTCTTTCAAAATCCAATTCAAAGTTTTCTCATTTGAGGCCCTGGCTGGTGTAGCTCAGTGGATTGAGCGCAGGCCTGTGAACCAAAGGATCGAGGTTCAATTCCCAGTCAGGGCACATGCCTGGGTTGCAGGCCAGTTCCCAGCAGGGAATGCATGAGAGGCAACGGTACATTGATATTTCTCTCCCTCTCTCCTTCCCTTCCCCCTCTGTCTAAAAATAAATAATTTTTAAAAAGTTTTCTCATTTGTGAGGGGAGTGCGCATTTGATATCTATTGCTCCACAAAAAATTGATTCACAAAATTTAGTGGTTTAAAAATAATAAATAAGAACTGTTTTTTAATCTATGGGTTTCTGAAGGTCAGGAATCTGGGTGCATCCCAGGTGGATCGTCTGGCTCACGGCCACCGTGAGGCTACAATCAAGGTGTCGTCACATCCTCTGGGCTGCAGTCATCTCGAGGCTCAGGTCAGGGAGGACTTGCTTCCATTCACGGGTTGTGCTCAGGTGAAGTGTTTTTATGGGCTGTGGGACTCAGAACCTCAGTGTCTGTCTGGCTATTAGCTGGAGACCTTCAGTATGTTGTCGCCTGGATCCCTCCCTCGGGCAGCTCACTTCATAGGACAGCTGGTTTCACTCGGAGCAAGAGAGCAGAGAAAGTGAGCAAGATAAAGTCAGAGCCTTTGCATAACCTAACCCCTGAAGTGATGCTCCACCACTATTGCTTATTTTAGTCCTTAGGAGGGAATTCCTGGGCCCAGGCCACACTCAAGAGGAGAGAATTACCCAGAGGCATGACTACCTGGAGGCAGGGATCGCTGAGGGGGCTGGGAGACGCATTTTAGAGAGGCCCCTTACCGTGGACAGAAAAACACAGAAGTAGAAAGTCCACAAATCCACATAATCCCTAACCTGCCTAATCTACTCAACAGACTTTCAGTCCTTTGAATGCGTTCTTCTTCCTTCTTAAGCAGCGACCTAAAAATAGGTGTGCAGGTGTTTCTTTCATCGAGTGCTTTTAATATGGAGTCCTTGTTCCCTCCGCCATCTATTTTTACTCTAGTGTTAAGGAATAACATTTCTTTTTGAAAAGAATCTGGCTTGCACAATTAATCATAATTCCACTTTAATACAGACAGAAATATCCACAGATATTAAGACCCTTTACCCCTTTTCTGGAAGCACATAGAAAGCCTCAATAAGTCGCCACCAAAATTAATCAAATGCTCTGGCTTCTTCCTCTTTCATAATCTACATCATTTTAGTGTTTCTGAAGTTACCTACAAAATGATGAAGATGAGTATATTGAAAGAGTTTGTTCACTGAGTTATAAGCTTCTTGAGGGTCACGCTTGTGCCCACAGTGCCTGGCACAGACGAGTGCTCTGGGAGCTCATGTCCAGGGCGAGACGGTGGCTGCTGGGGAGCCACAGGAAAACTCTGCCCACAGAGCCATGTTTACTATTTTTTTGAAAAATAATTATTACAATGTTTTTGTGATAACATACTGCAGGGAACCATTCAAGGATGATTGGTAAGAGTTTCAAAGGATCCTGGACATTGGATATAAGCTCATTTAATTGGCCCTAAAGTATAGATGAAGAGCTCAGTAAACATAGTCCAGAAGTTATGCTCATGAGTGACATGTGTTCTGTGACTCGGCACCTGGAATGGAATGTGAGGACATCATGAAGGCAGGGCAGATACAGAGAGCCTTCCACCAACTGCAGGAGAAGCATTTATAAACCACTGGGTGCAGTCCTGAGTTGAGGGTCCATCTAGGTAACAGTGGGAAAAGAGAAGGAAATGTAGGGAGGGAGATTTAAGAAACTCAAAGAGAGGCTGGAGCAAATGTGTTAATCCAATGAACCAAATTTTCTGTTCCTTTCCCCTCTTCTGGATCACTGGGGAGGGGTGGGGAAGGAGACCCTACCTGGCACTTAGCCTCTGAAGTCCCTGATCTTACTGATTATGCTGTGGCACCATGAGCTTTTCTCAGTCCCTTGCCAAATGTTCCCCCTGCCTTTATTTTAAATTACCGGTTGTAAGGGAAGGATTGTTGCGCTAGGAGGGATGACCACCAATGGCTAACCTCAGCTTTTCACTGCAGTCACCACTGAGCCCCTTGCTCCTGCCGAGGCCGCCTGCCACCCACTGGGCTTACTCCCAGGCACTCTAGTAACCAGCCGGGCTGGGGCTACACATTTGCTTTTGTTTCTTTTCTTTGTCTTTTTCTTTTTTTAGCAGCAATTTTTGACAAAAATGTTTAAAGCAGTCAGACGCAGTATATTTTTTTTAAAGATTTTATTTATTTATCTTTAGAGGGGAAGGGAAGGAGAGAGAGCGAGAGAAACATCAATGTATGGTTGCCTTTTGTGCGTCCCCTGCTGGGAATTGGCCTGCAGGGAACCGGCCTGCAACCCAGGTATGTACCCTGACTGGGAATGGAACCTCGATTGTCTGCTTCACAGGCCTGTGCTCAATCCACTGAGCTATGACAGCCAGGGCTAGACGCAGTATATTTTAATGCCACTTATTCTGTAAAGCTTTTCCCTGACCAACTGTCAGCGGATTTGAATGAACCTCTCCTTCTTCTTTTCTTGTCCTGGTGCATCCCTTCCAATACCCCCCCGCACTGCACTGTCCTCACTGACTTGTCTGTTCTTCTCGTATCTAGGCTGTGAGCACTTAGCACTCTGGCGTATTAAATGTGCTAGGTGCTACTAAGGACTTACTATTATTTGATGAAAACAACACGTAAGTGAATGAAAAAATTAGGATTTAATTAAAGGACATTTTATTTCGTTCTAAATCTGCTTATCCACTAAGTTGGCTGAGGAAACAAGTGGACAAGTATTTCTGTGTTATCTCTTACTTTAAGAAAATGCTAAGATGCAACTTCTTCCAGCTCCGGCCTCTACCGCCAGGCAGGTTTTAGAGGAATGCCAAAGGTTTGAGATTCGTCAGTGCAGAAGCTATGCACTCCACAGGTATGTACTTTGATGAGCTGCTGTTGGGCAAAGATTTCAGGCCAACTGCCTTCTCTGAGGCAGCGGGACTGTGACAGTTTATTATTTGATAGGGGGGATTGCGTACTATTTACAAGCAGGCGACTTGTGTGCAAGGCACGATTTTTCCACTTGGAGTACTGCGATCTTAGTCCACTTAACTGTGTCTGAGTTTCCCGATTTGGATAATGGGGATAATAATAAGAAGAAGAAGAAACAACATCAACACGCATGCAACACTTGTGTTTCCCTTGCGATG